ACGATGTGGGTACTCCATGGGGAACTCGTTCCTATGAATGTCGCCCTGTTTTTTTAAAGATGATTATGATAATGCTGATAGTGTCGAGATGATATTACCAACAATGGAAATGATGATCGAGACGAAATTCCCAAAATGTTGAAAGATGTTGGTAGGGGAATGTTCATGGATAATGATCTAGGAGTGTTTGTATTGGAGAAACATGTGAGGGAGTTGATAGTGAGAAAGTTCAAAAATTTGAAAAATTACTGAGGGATGCTCATTGTGTTTTGTATCCTGGTTGCAAAAAATATACATTATTATCGTTCTTGGTTAAGTTGCTTCATTTGAAGGTATTGAGAAAGTGAAGGAATAAGTCATTAACATTGATGTTTTTCAACGTCTATATATGATGCTAAAAAATTCTTATGAGCTTTTAGGATTGGGATACGTGGCCATTTATTCATGTAGGTACAATTGGATGCTATTTTGGAAGGAAAATGAAAAATTAGATAAGTGTACAGTATGTGGGGAGTCAAGATATCAACTCAATGATGGTAAGGATAAGAAGATACCACATAAGATCTTACAATACTATGTTGAAACTGTGGTTGCAGAGACTGTTTATGTCAAGAAAAATGACTACAGATATGAGGTAACACTAAGAGAAACGAGTGGATGATGAGAATTTTTAAGGCATCCTGGTGATTCTTAAGAATGGAAAGACTTTGATAAGCAATATCCAAATTTTGCTTGGGACACTAGTAATGTTAGGCTTGGATTGACCACGGTTGGCTTTAACCCTTTTGGGAACATGAGCATATGTGGCCTATGATACTGATGTCATACAACATACCCCCTTAGAAATGTATAAGCGATTCATTCTTCATGATGTCATTGCTTATTTCAGGAACATAGACACCTAGAAAGGAGATTGATGTATATTTGCGATTGCTGATTGATGAGTTAAAAGAATTGTGGAAATGTGTCATAACTTTTAATACATGTAGCAAACAGACTTTCCAAATGCATGCAACTATTATGTGGACCAATAATGATTTTTGTACTTATAGTAACCTATCTGGATGGAGTACAAAAGTCACAGGACATGCCCCACTTATAATTATGATGCATCATCACAACTGTCAAGAAGCAAAAATAGGTTACGCAAACCATCGTTATTACTTGCTGCAAGATCACAATTGGTGACATAGTAAGTTATTTTATAGTAAGATTGAGAAAAGATCAAAACCTTGAATGTTATTGGGGCAAGATATTTTAGATCAATTGGAGTGTCTACCAAATGTGTAGTTTGGGAAACATCCAAACAATCGAAAAAGAAATCAGTTATTTGGGGAACTTAATTGGACAAAGAAGATCATTTTTTTTAAGTCACCCTATTCACATATGCTTAAGATTCGACACAACCTTGATGTCATGCACCTATAGAAGAATATATGTGATAGTTTTCTTGACATGTTGTTGAGTAATAATAGCAAGAATAAGGACACAAATAAAGCTCATCTAGATTTTAACGATCTAAATATCAAAAAAGATTTGCACCTCCAAAAGAATGGGGAGGTATATGTAAAACCAGCTGCATGGTACACCTTTTCTCCAAAAGAAGACAAAGGTTCTGTGAATTTTTGAAATCAATTAAGTATCTGGATAGATAAGAATAAATATATTGAGGTTTTGTGAGCACGAATGATACTAAGGTATCGGGCCTGCAAAGCCATGATTGTCATGTTCTTCTACAATGACTTATTCCACTTGGAATTTGTGATTATTTAGATAAAGAGATTTGTACCACTTTGTTTGAGCTGAGAAATTTTTTTTAACAACTTTGTGCGAAGGCATTGATAGTAAAAGACTTAGATTCATTACAAGATATCATCATACTTGTTCTTTGTAAGTTAGAAAAGATATTTGTACCAGCATTCTTCAATATTATGGTGTATTTAGCAGTTCACTGGCCAAGAGAAGCCAAGATTACTAGACCCTTTTCAGGACTTGGGTTGAGAGTTTGATGAAAAACTAGAAAGTTCAACACTTAAGAATTAGAAAACCTAAAACTTAAAGCTAAAGGTCCCAATCAGCCTGTTTTCACTCCGTTTGTTGTGAAAATGGACGAAGAGAAACTATTTGGGCATAAAAACTTGTAGAAAAAGATGACATCTCGTTCTGGGAATCAGGTTGAGAGTTTGACAAAAAACTAAAAAGTTCAACACTTAAGAATTAGAAAACCTAAAACTTGGCACTAAGGGTCCCAAACGGCCTGTTTTCACTCCGTTCGCTATAAAAACAGATGGACAGTAACTATTTGGGCATAGAAATTTGTAGGAAAAGACGACATCTTGTTCCAGGACCCAAGTTGAGAGTTTGACGAAAAAAAAGAAATTCTAACACAGAAGAATTAAGAAAATCTAAAACTTGGAGCTAAGAGTCCCAATCGATCCATTTTCACTCTGTTCGTCATGAAAATGGACGGAGATCAACTATTTGAGCATAGAAACTTGTAGGAAAAGATGACATCTCGTTCTGGAACCCGATTTAAGATTTTGACAAAAAACTAAAAAAGTGCAACATTTAATAATTAGAAAACCCTAGAAGTTGTATTTAACAGTCCCAATCGGCTCGTTTCCACTCCATTCTCCGTAAAAATTGGCGAAGAGCAACTTTTGCGACAGAGACACTTGTAGGAAAAGACGAAATTTCGTTCTAGGACCCATTTTGAGAGTTTGACGAAAAATTAGAAACTCTAACACTTCAGAATTAGAAAATCATAAATTTGGAGCTAAGGGTCTCAATTGGCCCGTTTCCCCTTTGTTGTTGTGAAAATGGACAGAGATAAGCTATTTGGGCATAGAAACTTGTAGGAAAAGACGACATCTCGTTTCAAGACACAGGTTGAGATTTTGACGAAAAACTAGAAAGTTCAACATTCAAGAATTAGGAAACCTAATATTTGAATGTATATATATGTTTTTGAAAAAATTGATTGATGATTTATTAATGCATTTGTTTCTATTTTGTAATAGATGGATATGATGGATTTTCTGCATCAAAGTGATTAAAGAATTAATTTTGTTATGTATCTAAATATTTTGGAAAACTTGTATGCGGATTAAGTTGTTGGATATTTTGATGACTTTTATAACTTTTATTAACTGTATGTTTTTTTAGAATGGTATTTGATGTTAGTTTGTGTTAGTTGTTCAATAAAAGTTGTGTTGGTTTTTTATTGAAAAATATATGACCTAGGTATTAGTGGTGTATAGATGAAATTTTTTATTGAAATGCTTTTTTTAAGGAGGGTAATTTTTTTTAAAAATAATTTTTTTGCAAAGAAATTAAAATTATCACGAAAGATTGGATGAACTTTCTTTTTTGTGACGTTTTTAAGCATCGCAAATGTGTTTATTTTGCAACGATTAATTTTACATCGCAAATGTGTTTATTTAGCGGTGTTTTTTGAGCGTTACAAATTCATTCACATTTTTTTGATTGAATCATATAGCGACGTTTAATATATGCGTCACAAATAAAAAACTTTTTGTGACGTTTATTTGTGTGTTGCCAATGTGTTTACTTTTTTATTTATGTAGAAATTTGTTTGCGACAATTTTTATGCGTCATAGAAAATTAATTAAATTATTATTTTTTATTTTTTGGACGACAATGGAATAGATTTTTAATGACGCCTTTTTTAATTTTAGCGATATTTTGTTTTCGGCACAAAACTCTTTTTTTGTAACGAAAATAAAAGTATGTTTCAAAATGCTTTCCTCGAGGCTATTACAACAACCTCATGACAAAAAAAAATGTCGCTAAAATTAATTTGCTACGATTTTTATGCTTTTAGAGGTGAAAAAAATCGACAAAAAAAATATTTTTTGTTGTAGTGGTATATAAATATAATACATGAATTCGGGCTGAACTCGGATTGAGCCTCAATTTTATCAATTCGGATTGGGTTCGAGTTAAACCCAAACTAGAGCTTTTAATTCGATTCTTGTTTGAATTCAAGTCAGGTTGAAGTTTTTCAACTCCCACCCTAAAAACCTCAACCCTAACATTGTTTTTTTTTGTGTTGGGTTAGAGTTAACTCACCCAAGTTGCACCCTTAGCCTTCGGGATCTCTATACATATAAGTTGCCAGCTAATGAAGATAAGTTGCCACGTACATTGTAAGTAATTAAAAAAGTAAAAAAAAAATCTAATTAGGTGCAGCCACGTAAAATTTTGAATTTTTAAAATCAAAACTATAGAAAAATAGGAATTTGAAAATTTGGAGGTCTCTCCTGATTCTTAGGTACACCTCGATAGAATATACCCTAAATAATCTAAGAATCTAATCAAGTGTAGTGTTGATAATCCAATCGAGCTTTGTGAGTCGAGTTTGTTTTTTTAAATGAGTTTAACAAATTGTTCAAGTTTGAATAATTTAGAAATGAGCCAAGCTCAAGTAAGTTGACTATTGTACATATAAATGAGCCGAATATTGAGAGTTCGAGCTGAACCTTGTAAGTTCATTTTTCTAAATGAATTTAAAAAATTGTTCAAACTCGATTTGTTTGTTTAGAACACAAATAACTCGGCTCAATTATCAATCATAATTAAATGTCATCTAAGCTATTGAATTTTTTAAAATCAAATCTACATAAAAATAGGAATTTGAGAATGGATGTCTCTAATAGTAAGACTCCAACAAAATAGGAAAACTTAACAACTTAATGACTAACTCACCCGAAACTCAAAAAATCAGCAAATATCTAAACAAAAAAAAAAAAGATTTATCGGATAAGAGGTAAATTTGCTTTGAAAAGTTCCGCTTGGACTTGTCAACGTGCTAAGAATCACCAAATCTCCCAAGTTAAAAATACTCGAACCAAACATTTTCTCTCTCCATATCAACAGGAGAGGAACAACAAAGCAAATCACAAAACCCTTTAATTTCTGTCTCTGGTTTGTTCTCTCCATCAAACATCGAGGTGCTTGGACCTTTCTCTCTTTGAACTATGGCATCTAAGTCTATTCTATTGGTGTTTCTCGTTTTTTCTTGGTGGGTTTTTGTGGGTTCCACTCCACTAGGCCTTGAAGAACAAGGAGGAGGAGGAGGAAACCCTATTTCGTCAATGCCATGCGTGCAAAAATTGCTTGTATGCGAACCCTACTTGAAGTCACACACCACTCCACCACCCTCATGCTGCATTCCATTGAAGGAGATGCTCGCGAACGAAAGCAAGTGCCTCTGCACCGTCTTTAATGACGCTGCCATAATGAAGAGTCTCAATGTGACCAAGGACGAGGCTTTACAATTTCCAAAGTATTGTGGAGCCACTGCAAACTTAGCCCTTTGCAACACCGGTAACTTCCATTCTATGTCTTTTATATGCATCTTAACTAGTGGCCCGTTTCTTTCTAGATATTATTCATGAAAAACCATTTGGTGTTAAAAGTTGATGAATTGTTGTTGATGAACCCTAGCGGTGATATTATGCACACACCTACAACATGTTGGATAGACGGTTTGAATTCCTTGATGACATTGATTTTTGACAGATCTGGCCATATAATTATTTGAATAAATGTCATATTTCCTTTTCCTCTTTGAGAATTGTGATTGCTTTGTAAATTGAAATAAACAGATGATGGAAAAATTATTTGGGTATTTTATGATTAATAAAATATTTATTTCCTCCGTTCCTAAATATCTATTGTTTAAGGTTTTTGCATAGGAATTAAAGAAGCTATTAAATAGTTATAATATGAGTAAAAAATAATTACACAAGACTAAAATATCCTTATTCAATACGTATTGGAATGAAAGGAATATGAAAGACACTTAGCCTCCACTTAATCTAATGTATTAAAAAGTTAAGGGTAAATTTAGAAGAAAAAAATATTAATTATGTTTTGGTTTCACTAAACGGCAGATATTATGGAACAAAAAAAATTGTGTAAAACGACAAATATTTAGGAACGAATGGAGTATCATTTTTGAAATAAAGATCAGATAATTTAGCAACGATGATATGATATCTAATTGTAATTGTAAACCCTTCTTTAAATTGAGAGGATCCTGATACTGGTATTATTGGTTATTTACAATTTTGACTCCTTTTTGTTTCTAGTATTATTGTTTTATACACTTTTTTTTTTTTTTTATTTAAGTTGAGTTTGTATTATTTCATGACAGATTCTACACCAACAGGTTCACCAGCAACCCCAACTGCTCCTTCTACTTCTTCTTCCAGCAGTGAGTCCTAACCTTACTATTCTTCAGATTTATAAGCAATATAATAGGAAATCTATAGCTTGATGGGCATCTAAAATCTTCTTTGAAGACCTCAAGCTGTTTCTTAGTCAGATGGAACCATGACTTGTAAGATTAGTGAACCAATTTGGCCTTCAAATCCTGGACCATATAACTTTGTGGTCCGCTATTTTGTGCATTCATCTAAATTAAACTTCTCTATATTTTTCTTTGAAGAAAAAAAAATTAGAATAGACAATTTTGTGTAAGAATAAATTCAAATTTTATTTGAAGGAAATGATTTGATAAAGCGGTAAGACTACTCCTTTATGACCTGAACGAATTTTGGGTTCAAGTAATAAAAATAATCTGACATGCGAATATATCATCACAAACTCTGAGATTTCAAAATCCTTCTGAAATCTATTATTTTTTCAGGTTCTTCTTCAACTCCAACTACAAACAGTGCAGCCAATGGAATTTATGTCTTTGGAGGATTTCCAATCTTTTCTTCTTTTCTAATGTTTATCATTTCAGCATGAATAATGCTAGATGGATTTAAAAATTAGACTTGATAATCTCAACCATTAAATAGGTAGTGGGTCCTAATAAATGCTGGGACCTACAGTGAATTCAATAGTTGAAATTATTAAGTATAATTTTTAAGTTTACTTTTTAAGTCTATGTAGCATTGCCTAAGTTTCCAAGTTATTGCAATATGATTGCAGGTAAAACTATTACGATCAAAATGCTGAGTTTTGCAGTTTAGCTACTTGTTATGCGACGTTTTTTTTTAATAATTTATTAATGCTCTTTATCATAATCTTAGTCAATTGTTCTAGCTTAAGTAACCTTTATGTCACCACTAACTTATGTGGCGTTTCAAATAACAAGTTCGGGGTTGGATTCGAATCATTTTAGTTGATATTTTACTTTAGTTTATATAATACTAGCAATTGTCTCTATCTAAAAGTACGATATAATAAACAAAAAAATTAAAAAGTAAATTCTCATGCCTGAAAGTACTATATAACAAAAAAAATTATCAATTAGAAAAATAAAGAAAAATTGCCAATCGATAGGTTTTCTTTTAAAAATATGCACATTCGACAATATCAGTACAAATTAGTAATTTATATCTAAAATTAGTGGTGAATCAAAAATTCACCATGGTATGAACACAACCAATTAAATATGAGAAAGAAATCGAGAAAAGGGGGATTAAGAGATGACCTACAACTAAAAATAAAAAATAAACAATGTCAACAAAGCTCAAATCAATCAAAACTATTTGTTTTTTTTTTTTTACCATTCTTACTTGGTTGAATTGCAAGATTATTGTTAGAGCATCTGTAATTTTTACCTCTTTTTAAAATCCAATTTAAAATTTTGGTAAAAAACTTTTAAAAATATTCTCTAATGCTAGTCATACTCATATAAAATTAAGGAAGACTTTTTTTTTTTACTCAAATCCATATTCAAAATTTTAATTGTGAGATTTTACACTCCTTTAAAGATTTAATAGTCATATTTTACTCTTTTTTAAATTTAGGTTTTATCATTTAAATTTAAATTTTTTTCTTTAAATTTGAGTATCTCCATTGAAGAGGTCTAAATTGAATTAAACTTTTTACTATTTTTTTTACTCAAATTTAAATACAAGTATGAGTCTCCATTGGAGATGGTCTTAGGTTCTTATGTAGTTAGACACGTGGTGATGCTATATTGGGTTCCTATTAAAAAATTCAAATAGTCTTTCAATTTTTTGTTTTATTTATAAATGTAAAATAGAAAGTAAGAAAAGAGTTGAAAAAAAGAAAAAGAGATTACAAAAGAGACCAAACTCAACTTTTGGAACTTCACACATTTAAGCCAAGTATACCTTTTTGAACTCTACCAAGAAATTAAACTTGATTGATGAAGACATTCATTAAAGCAAGGAACTTATTTTAGAGGAATCTATGCCGTTTTTTTAAGACATTGAACATAAGAACACCACTGCTAAACTAGCCAACAAACAAAAATGTATAAAATCTCTAAAAATTTAAACTAAATTTACAATAAATTCCTCTAAACTTATCAACAATCAACTTCTTTACCAATCGCGACAGCAAAAACAAAAAAAAAAATAAGCCAATAACAATTGCCACCACCTAAACAGAAAAAGTCTAAGTCAAGCTAATGACCATCATTATTGCCTCACAAAAAATTTGCTATGTCCTTCAACCCAAAAAAAAAAAAAAATTCAAAACAAAGTTCACAGTCAATAAATAACCACCGCCATAGAAAATAAAAGAAAAAGAAAGAAATTGATGATACACAAAACGGTTTTATACAAGATCAACAGTTGAGTGTGTGATAATGTGTAATTAATAGATCAATCAATGACAATAATATAAATATCAGGTCAATATACAGATATATAGTAGTTTGGTCTGAATAATTTACTCCACTTTGGGAAATGGCAACAGTGACTGGGGGATCTTTTATTAATTAAGTATGGTGAGCGAGAGAAAAAACAATAGTTAGCTCCAGAATGAATACAGTAACTAGGGGAGAAAAAAACTATGTGTGGGGTATCCTTTCATATAGAGAAAATTTACAATTTATAAGCATAGAACCTTAATTGAGGCGGTGATGTGAGGGTTAAAGTACTACATCTTTGGAGAGCTACAAAAGGTAAGTACAATTAAAGGTTGTCTTGATCTTCGAGAGTGAGTATCCCGATAATTATTCCTTATGTGCTATAATCCTTCTGAATTCCTTGAACTCTAGACTGCGCTAAATCCATGAATTGGACTTGATTTGTTTTGTCGCTGATTTGGACTTAGCTCATTAATTGAGTCTGACCCAATTAAATCTGGACTCATCAACAACAAAGATAAGTTGGTAACCATTGGCATGGAAAAAAAAGAAAAAGAAAAGTCTTGCTACACACTACCATCTTAACCAAAAAAAAAAGAAAGAAAGAAAACATTTTACAACTGATCGACATTGCCACTTACACTGTAAAAAAATTCTGATGGTTATGACTATCGTCGCTACACTTGACAGCATACACTCTTGAATCTAGGTAATGCCCGTGTTTGTGTAACACGACAAATCACCAATAAGTAAATTATGATTCATTGCAACGAAATAACGTAGACATGACCCGCAACACAAATTATGCTAATCAAAAGCAGATGACGCATATATTGTTGGAATCTACATGATTATCACACACTCAGAAAAAAAAAATAATGGAAGAGACTATTACAGATAAAAAAAATTCTTTTTATTCACTCATATCCAAATAAATGTATTACATATAATATATGTATACTCTAATCGAGCAAACATCAAAGTACACCTATAAAATTTCAAGTTATTTACACAATTTATATATTTTATTACCGTATCTAAAATTTTCAAAGTTCCCATAAAAATTACTCCAAGTGGAATAAGAAAACAAAAAGTCAAAAGAAAAGTCAAATATTATTACGAATCAATGATTAGGCAATGAAGAGTTACGATAAAATAATGAGCCTTCAAAATTAACTAACAAACTAAAAAAAAAAAAAAAATTCGGCCAAAAGTCACATACATGGTTTTTTTTGCTTTATTTAAATAGTGTGTGCTTCCACGTGGGTAAGTGAGATTGCCTTTTCCAAATCATAGAGCACCTGAATTTCTTGATTTCATCCCCACCCTTAATACTCAAATGTCAAAAACTTCCTTCCCTGCTCATACTCCTTTGATTGCCTCAATTTCTTTCCCACCCTTAATACCCAAATCATCAAGTGCCTCATTGTCTTCCCCACCCTTAATATACAAATGCCGAAGACTTGCTTTCTATGCTCACCCTAGCAACCATCTCTATCCAAAATTAGAGCAACGGACTCATAGTCCAATACATTAAAACGCCAAAACAAAACACCAATAGAAAATAAAATATACATGTGTAAGGCTATTTAACAGTCACAAGTGTTATTCATCAACGACTACTTTGGAAGAACCATCATCATAGCTAACAAGATGAGGATCCATGGAGAAAGAATGGAAGGTGTGGTGATCATTGAGAAAATCTTGAGGTCTATGACTATATAATAAAAAACAATTGCAATAGAGATCTAGAAGCTAATAAAAGATATTGAAACAAAATTTAAAACTATTCTTGGACACTTGTCAATGAAAACGCCAAGTAAAAACATTAATGTGACGTGTAATTTCTCTAAAACAAGCTTGCAATGCCAAAACATTTTCAAAAAGATCAAATTAGCACAAAAATTTGGTTGCAGTTGACGACCAAAATTGTACCAACCACTTCAAAAATCACATAAGCACTTAAACTTTAGTTAGTTGAATATAGTACCCATTTACCTTTAGTTATAGCACTTAAAAAATTAGTTAAAAGTGCCCATTGGGACCCATAAAAGTTTTCTATGTATTTATGTTATACGAAATTGGTCGACGATCCAAAGTTTTTTGATTTTTGAAGTCAGCTTAATTATAGGTCACCCAATTTTCGTGTATGAGTCTCTGATAGTGAAAATTTTCAGGCCCTAGTACATAAAATATCCATCTAAATCCGTGCTTTATTTAAGCTAAACTCATGCTTAGTGTTGTTATTTTTCTTTTTTTTAAAATTTTTTTTTTTAGGGAAATTACCAAGTCCTATCATTATTAAACACAACTATATTCAACATTCCGCTGAATATTAAATTTTTAGAACTTGATTGAGTTGTTTCTAATTTTTCCATTTCAAGTAAATACCACATAAGGATTAGAGAACCGCTCGAACGAACGACTGCTAAATTGCTTCCTTCAATCAAGGCAGTAGTCAGCATCCCTTGTGCCTTGACTCCATGATCACAATCTAAAATTAATTATGTAAAAGAAATGAATCAAACTCATACATCTATTTATATCTAAACTATTTTAAAATACAGAGTACATGAATTTTTTTTTTTTTCACCTTTGTCCTCCAAAAATATATCAATGTTGTCCGTCTCCTTTATAGTTAACTAGAAAT